TACTGTACCTGAAAACCAGAGAATCGATACACACAAGTAAAAAATAGGGGCGAAAATCCACAGATTTAGTTATGCTACCACTGCATTTTATAGAAACCTACATCGACAACAGTCTCTCCATCATCTTCTTCAACAGCAATCAAATCTTCTTGGACAACATTGAGCTGTTCAAGCGTTAACGGATGTTCCGGATCGTTGATATCTCTGCAAAATGCACTTGCAATCAGCAGTTTTGCTGACAAACAGAGCGCGGGCCAAGAAGTGAAAACGGCATGAAGTTTCCAAAAAATATCAAGCCCTTCCGGATATGGGTATTTAATGTTAATAATGTTACTGGGATGCTTCCACGAGCCCACTGCAGGGATGCCAGATCCTTCCAATTCGAGCTGTACATTTCCAGTTTGCACCTATCGCTCAATGTCCGAGAAGCAAAGGATCCCGCAACAAACCTCAGGTAATCAAAAATTTCCTGCACATTGATTGGATCAACGGTATCCGGATCGAAATCTGACTCCGTCGGTTTCCATCGCCGTGGATTTTTATCATACACCGTCGGCATCGCATTCTCTAATTGATCTGACAACATTTTGGATGTCTCTGCAAATACAAGCTCCGAATGTGAACTGTAAACCTTTTATTCTCAAGTCACTTCGGCTCAGAAACTTGTCTAGTCCTGAATATCAACGTCAGAACCGTTCACTGTCTCCAATCTCTCCCATGAAAGATATCGGAAGTATTCGAAGGGAAACGTAACAGAAGAACCAGACCAGTTCAAACATTTCAGGTAATTACGCTGCTCTGCAAACCAAACAGCCCACTGTAAACACGATGTTTTATTTCCAATTTTACTTCTTCTCTTCATTTTTTGGCACATAATAGAACGCGCAAAACAATGACATTTAGGATTAAGTGAAAAAAAAAAGAAACATTCGGAAAAACAAACAATAAAAAAAGCACTGAGCAACACAAACAATATAAATCAAAATTTGTACAAAAATTTTCGTGCCGACAATCCTTCCATGCTTTCCAGTGATTACTGTCAGAGAAGCTGTATCACCTGATGCACAGCCCGGTAAAACTCTCTTGGTTAACTTTCATCTGCTTTTCAAACTACAACTGAGAATTCACTGAATCTCCATCTACGCAGCCGGTAACTTTCCCATCAACTAAGAACTTGCACTTTTCGCATCTGTACCAACCCGACCGTGCAGTTCGCGGGTGAACTCAAAATATCAGTTCAAAACTTCTTAATTATTTATGTCGCGCCTTTCTCAGCCCCTCTTACTTGATAAGTGATACTGAAACAACTACAGTTTCACCACTGGCTCATCACTGGTGCAGTTGATGATGAACCACATCATTTTCTTAACCTTATAAAAATGCGTCTAAAAGCGGTACTCCGATCCCCGGCAAAAATGGCCTA